GATTTCTCCTTCGCGATTCTTCGTTTTCTCTCGCCGGAATCCTGAAATTCGGGCTAACAATCTCAAGCGATGGGTTCCGAGGAAGAGAAAGTCGTCGGTAAGTCCTATATTCGTTCACGTTTTCGATTCGATTAAGCTCTGTTTCATTATCTCTCTCTAGCTCGTTTGATTTTGGAATCTAGGGTTTTTTTTGTGTGTGTTGACCTTTCTTTTTGCTTCTCGAGGTTTTAAAACTAAACGATCTGATTACAGATTTGCGAATTCGCTCGCAGGATCATTTCTTGTTCTTATTAGTCTCGATTGATTCTGTGATCTGGAAAATGATTTTTTGTTGTTGCAGTACCCAGAAACTTTAGATTGTTGGAAGAGCTTGAAAGAGGTGAGAAAGGAATCGGAGATGGTACTGTGAGCTATGGAATGGATGATGCTGATGATATTTTGATGCAATCTTGGACTGGTACCATTATTGGTCCTCATAGTGTATGAATTTCTTCTTCTATCTATCTCTGCATCTTTCATGTTTATAGCTTTTCAATGTTTCCTTTAAATTTTGTCTTAGATAGAAGTTACTAGGCTTAGTTAGTTGAGATTAACCATAAGAGGCATTTACCAAATTAAGTGAATGAGGGAGAGACAAAAAGGAAGAAACTTTAATATTATTGGTTTCCACTTTTGGGGAATTTTGATGTGTTTTTGTTTTGATGAAATATTATTAGACTGCCTATGAAGGGAAAATCTTCCAGCTTAAGCTTTTCTGTGGTAAGGATTACCCGGAAAGTCCGCCTAATGTGAGGTTCCAGACCCGGATAAACATGACTTGCGTCAACCCTGAAAATGGAGTGGTAAGCTACAACAACAACATTACTCTTGTTGTTGCAAAATTATAGTTTTGCGTGGTTTTTTGACAAGCTGGGTCGATTCAGGTTGAACCGAGTCACTTCCCTATGCTTTCCAACTGGAGAAGAGAGTACACAATGGAGGATTTACTGATCCAGCTAAAGAAAGAAATGATGTCACCACAGAACCGGAAGTTAGCTCAACCCGTGGAAGGTAAATTTCTTTACTTAAAATGAGGGAGATGAGAGATTACATTACATCTACACGGAGTCACACCGGTTAACAAAAGAGCTTGTTTCCTAGCTTTTCTAATCCGAAAAACGAATGTATGGCCAGGTAATGAGGAAGGGAGAACAGACCCAAAGGGACTAGTGGTGAAATGTTGTGTGATGTGAAGGAGGTAAACTGAGGAATTTGTAAGAATT